GAATACAAGGGCATGCAAAAAAAACAAACCCACATAAGAAAGTTCAATTAAAGAAGATGGCTCCAACTATACAAAATAGTACCTAAAGAATAATTACAAAAGATCTTCAAAATTGAAGCCCAAAAGGAAACATGAAATCTAACAAGGGACCATACATCAATTGGATCCATCTACAACCTCTAAACACTTTGTTATTCCGCTCACTCCAAGGATCTTATAAAACACACCCCAGCAAACCATATCACTGGTGTTCTTATGTCGAGCTAGGCAGATGAAGGAACTCCTCGATCATGTCACTTTCTTGTGTCGAGCTAGCGAAAAGGCAAGCATCATATGAAAAGATTCCAAATGAACCTCCCAAACTCACGTCTCCAAAAAGTGTGATTCGAGTCTTCCTCCACCTTCCAATATAGAATACAACAAAACAAACCAACTAACAAGGCCATTTTTCTCGCAAATTGATCCATAGTATTAGCTCAACCATGTAACACTTGTCAAGTAAAAACTTCACTTTCCTCAATATCTTAATCCTCCAAGGGAGAAGGGTTCAACAAACTACGTAAACAGATTTGTAAGAAAAACCCTCCAGAAGGTTGGAACTCCACAGTCAAACATTACTATGCCTCAAAATGACTTCCCCAAGCATGGTCAAGAGAGAGAGAACATTTGTCGCTTCCCTATGTGTCAAAGAGCAACAAAAACAAAACGAAACAGAAATTGAGCTCCCCGACCTAACCAAAAGATCAGAGACACAACATGAACCAATGAACCAAGTGAGAGAAAGAAGGATTCAACAAAGATATTCGTTCATAGATTACATTAAGTGCCTTTAATCCCACCCGACAACCCCTCAAAAGGATGAGAACCAAACTTGTTTTCAATAATCATGTGCCAAGTAGAGCTAGGTTCAAGGGTGAAACGCCAAAGCCATTTGGCTACAATATTTTTGTTACAAGTCCTTAAGTTTCCAATTTCTAGTCCCTTAAGTAAATTGGCCTCTCAATGACTTCCCCTAATCAAGTGCGACTTTTTTCCTTCTTCCACCCCTTCCCAAAGGAAATTGCCATAAGCTTCTCAATATTCTTATAAACCACGTACGGAGCTCTAAAAAGGGAGAGATAATACATAGGGGTACCACTCAAAATAGAGCAAATCATTATAGATTTTTCTATCATTAAGAAAATTTAAATATTTTTTCACTTGTATGCTCAAAATAAGTTTCTAGAATGTCAGTTTCTGGATGACATTTTAACCCAATAAATAGAAATGTGGAGTTTAGTTGAGACAAAATGAAGGTAGATTATAGGTTCAGATGGTTAACCAAGGGACTTTCTCCTTGTTTCCTGCATGTTTGGGATTTCATAGAAGGATATTTGTTTTGAGTGTTCAATAAAATTTTGAGAGAGAGTAATGGAAGGTTCCAATACAAATGAAATATTCTTTTGCCCTCACACAAAAAGACTAGAGCACCAAAAATTAAGAACGACGTTCCAGTTAGCCCAGTTACTAATTTCTACAAGATAATCAAAGGCATTGGTGGAGCGAATGAGAAAGGTGCTTCCTAGTTCCATCTCTAGTGCCCAAGGGGCTTCTGTGGCTAGTAGAGAGACAAATGTTGGAACATGTCTCAGTTACAAATAAGGCTTTGGAAGGGAAAAAGGTATTCTTTTAAGATAAACTTTGAAAAAGCCTATGATCAAGTAAACTTAGAGTTGTTGGTTAAGGCCCTTAAGGAAAAAAAATGCTTTAGCATTAGATGGCGATCTTGGATGAGGAATTGTCTTCAGTCAACTGATTATTCTATCTTAATTGTCTACCGTTCAAGGAAGAATGTTTTGTGACAAGATATCAAACAAGATACTTCTCTTTCTCTATTCATATTATCGTTGTGGTGGATGTTCTCAGGCTATTAGTGTTGAGTGAAATGAAGCAGAGTTACACTGAGGGTTTTAAAGTTGAAATGAATTGGGTACATCTCTTTCGTTGATATTTTGCAAATGATACTAACCACTTTCTTTTGGTTAAGGGATGACGCTTGTTCTATAACTTAATGTAAACTTAGCATATTTGTTGGAGTCAATGTCGGGGCTTCAAGTAAATAGGAAGAAATCTTTCATAGCAAGAGCTGGAGGATTGAAAATTTGGCAGTCAAAATATCGTTGTCTGGTCTCATTGTGGTGGTTCAAACGCATGTGAATGTATACGCATCCACACACATATACATACCCGAAGTAGAGAGTTAATAATAAACCAGATGTTAGGTACGCATTTTCTTAATGAAAAACTAAGCTTCATTGAGAAAAACAATGCAAATGAAAAGAATTACAAGAACATACAAAAATCCATCCCTCAAATGGAATCCAAGCCCTAGCTAGGGAGGATTGGACTCCAATCTAAAAGAATGAGACCTAGCTGATAATTACAAAACTCATGAGAAACTAACACCACGATTCTTAGGTATGCAAATAAAAGGCTTTGGGAATTAAGAGTTCATTTAAAATTCAACAGTGTACTTGAGAATGTATAAACCCTGTAAACAACTCTGTGCCAAGATAGTATGATCGCAGTTTAAATGGTAACTTACAGCCTTATGGATATGCATGTCAGACTCCATGGCATCACTCCCAGTAGAATACCAACCCAAAATGTAGAAGTGGGGAAAAACTTTCTTATCTGCTCCAATCAAGAACGCAGCTCGGTTATCATCAATAATAACATCAACTCTAATAAATAAATAAATAAAAAAAAACAAAAGAAGTGTCAAGAATTACTAACAGAGCTCTTGCTTCTTCTCAAGGAAGGTGCGGTCAAGTGAATGAGTTTTGGGATCATACAGAAGCTCAAAGCTGTTGAAGATCTCAACCGTGCGGCCCTTCTGAACGCCAACAACACAACCGTAAACCCTAGGAGCAGGAGGAGAAGTGGAAGGGTCCGCAGAATCGGCTACATCGGCGCCATTACTTAGGGCGCATGGGGATGGAGATGAACTGCTTAAGGAGGGAGGATTCATCTGAGACTTAACCCTGGTGTAGTGATCGGAAATGTTCACAATCACAAGAGGATGCAGTTTGAATGTCAATCCGCTGCCAGACGACGCCATGATCGATTGCAACAAGAAATTCAAAACCAGAGAGAATGGAACGCACGAGGAAATGGATTCAACACTGAAATCTTCTCATTCGTTTTTCAATTGCCCAACATACTCTCTTTTCGTCAAATCTCCGAACTTTCAGAAAGGATCCTTCTGGAAAATTTCCGTCGGCTTCGCACTTTACGGTTTGCTTTATGTATGTGCTTTGAGTGTCTCGTTAAATCATAAATTTTGCTATGAACTTTGAAATCGATTCAATCTCCTTAAAATAAAATTAATTAAATTATGTTTTTTAATTTCAAATTACAAATGGTTTAATAATTTCTTCAACTTTTAATTCATATCTATCGTATTTCATCCATTTATACAACAAAAACAATTTTTATGGTTCAAACCTTCTCGGACCTTTCACATTCTCTAGTGTCTTTTATGAGCGTGTTATGAAATTTGTCGAAACTTTTTTCTCTTGACATGGTCATAACTACGAACATTACGACTTTTGAAGTTTCTTTAATGTAGTTTGCATGCTTATAATTATTTAAGTTTGACATGATCAAATTTGATTATGCAGTGATTTGAATCTTAAACTAGTTTTCTTGGGTTGCGATAAGATCAACAAGATATTTCGGATCGTACTTTTTATAAGGGTGATTTCTTATCGTTTTGGGGTTCTTAAATATATTAGATTTTTATTTTTCAGCAAAATTTTTAGATTTAATTCTCAATAGTTCCGATCATCTGGGATAAAATCATTTTGATTGGAGAGTTTTCATTAGGTTCTTAGATTCAATTAGCTAGGTTTTATATCAAACTGACTTATTGTAATACCTAGTTTAAAATAAAATAAAAATAAATAGAGAACATGTGTAGTAGTAGCCACCGTACGTGGGCGTTGATGTTGCTCTATTGGCTTAATTTATGGCGTATTTGAGGAATTTGATGAAATTTGAGATTTTTGAAGACTTAAACCCAAGCAAAACGTGTTGCGCATTTCAAGTAAGTGCCATCTTGAAACTTCTTATTGAGCTATGCTCGTAGTATGTATGAAAACACGATATAAGAAGTATGTCATAGAAATATGAGTCTGAACTGAGTTGATTTAATGTATGAAAAAACATGTTAAACGTTATGGTACACACTTACGAAGAAATAGTCTATTAAACTCTACTTTGAATGGATTTAAAAACATGTCATATTATCAATATTTAAGCATGGAGGGAGTTGATTTGTTGTACATAAGAGCACTTTAAACGTTAAGATGCACGTTAAACCCTTCAAATTAAATATATCATATATTAAATATTTATTTACACACTTTCAAAACTTTCTTTTAACTAAATCGATCTTTTTAGTATTAATATTTATTAAGTTCCAATTTTATTCAATTAATTAATTAAAATTTTTATTTAATCAATTTTCATTTTATTAACCATAGACTATTTCCCAATAGACCTATAATTGAACTCTTATGCTTTATAGAACAAGACCTATAATTGAACTATATGATTTATAAGACAAGTTGTGTCCATTACAAGTTGTTCGTAATTTCAGTTAGGTCAAACGAACATTTCACCCTTGTAATTACATTCTTCACTTTATGTACCATTGATCCTTCAATAAGCAATTTATTTAAACCAAGTTCCTTTTGGGCTTGCAATAGGATGAAGCTCTATTATTCAATACTCGAAAATAGCACTTAGAGAACTACCCAACTCTCATCCAAATTAAAGAACAAATCCTCACATGCATGCGCGAGTTCATAAACCAACTCTACCTTTTCATCTTCCAATGAATCAATAAAGAAATTATCGAAAATTCAAGGCTCAAAAGTTCGAAATAAAGCTTCTCGTCTCTCTAACAATCACCGACGATTAACACAAATCTCTACAAAAGATGACACGAGGGGGGGTCTGCTATGAAGTTGGTGTTATTTGCTATATCCGACCAAAAATATACAATTATTGTTTATCGAATGTATAACACATTTCAAAGAATATTTGTCGAGAAATCGACGTAGCTATACACTAAATATACATTAACTATACAATTTAATTTTTCTAAATCATGGGTAAACATGGTTACTATGTTCTTCTATGTCAAACAAGTGGAAATGCAGTATTGGATTGGTTTTGGTTTTTGACAAAGGGATTCCCAGTGGGATCCAAATCAATAACAAAAGTATCACCTGGCTTTGGATCTCCATAAAGGAATGCCTCACTCAATGGGTCTTCAACTATTGTGGTAACTGCCCTCCGAAGAGGTCTGGCTCCATAAGCTTTGTCATACCCTACTTCACATATCAGGTCCATTACCGACTCCGATAATTCTAGACCGATCCCGAGCGACATGAGCCTGTCCTTTATTTCTTGTACCATTATATTTAAGATCTCGAGCATCTGATATTAAAGAATCAAAGATTGTGCACATTAGTGTGTGGGTCGAACTTGTGCACACCTCATGAATATATTAAATCATAGGTAGGTGACCTGAATGCGAGAGAGGCAACTAACCTGAGACTTTTGAAGGGGTTGGAACACGACAGTCTCGTCTATCCGGTTCAGCAACTCCGGACGAAAGTACCCTTTGAGCTCCTCTGTCACAAGAGACTTCATTCCTGCATATGAAGTCGAGGACTCGTCGTCTGAGAGAAGGAAACCGATGGAGTGGTGTCTACCCTTTATGATTGAAGTCGAACCAATGTTTGATGTCATCACTATCAATGCGTTCTTAAACGAAACTCTCCGTCCCTGTCGACCCCAATTAGAAATGTAAAAAGCCTGAAAGCAGAGCACAAAGCCTGAAGTACAACGAGTACGAACCTGAGAATCTGTAAGGTGTCCATCTTCGAACAGCTGGAGGACGATGTTGAAAATATCGGGATGAGCTTTCTCTATCTCATCAAGCAGTACAACAGTAAATGGTTTCCTTCTAATAGCTTCTGTTAACGTTCCACCATCTCCGTAACCGAGATATCCTGGAGGTGATCCGATTAATTTACTCACAGAATGTCGCTCCATATATTCACTCATGTCTAATCTCAGCATGGCGTCTTCCTGCATGAATGATATGGTTACTGTCCAGATGCTAAATATACATTTCTGAAATTTAAACGCTCGATTAAACTCGGGGTGGGAATTCGAATCTTTGAGCTTCTAGTATGGTAGTCGCTACAATATCGTTATCATTCTGAAGAGCTACAGCAATATTTGATGAATTACCGATCCAAAGTAGCACCTTGCCAGAACTTTTGTTAGTTCAGTCTTGCCAACTCCAGTAGGGCCGCAAAAAAGAAGAACCGCTATTGGTCTGTCGGGATCCCTAAGCCCAACACGAGACCGTTTAACAGCTCGAGCAATTGCAGAAACAGCCTCATCTTGCCCAACAACTCGCTTTTTGAGCTGTTCGTCGAGACCCAGCAGAAGAATGCTCTCATCAATTGTTAGCTGCTGAACTGGGATCCCTGACCAAAGGGAAGTAACTGCTGCAATATCATCTGCCCCCACCACCACAGGTCTGGAACAAATCAAAATACGAATTAATTCTCCTTAAAAAAAAAAAAAAACCCTTTCTGAGTAACAGAGTGTTCTTCATCTCTTCCTCCTAGTATACATTTTTCAGAATAAAATTTCGTACTCATAATTATCTGATATTGAAGAGAAAGTGGACTCCGAGGCGTTGTTCCCAGAAGAATCCAAGCTTTGAACCCCTCCGTCTTTGAGTTTATTGGCCACGTTCTGTTCGTACACGGAAAAAAGAGAGGCGATATCAGTAATGATCAAAGGGTTGATCGAAAAAACGAGATGCGCAAATACAATACCGTTTCATGCATAGCCTGAACAGCCTTAATTACTTGCCAATAATCATCTGGTGATTTATAGAGTATAGAAGTCTGCAATTCTTTTCTCTTCTTAAAGGTTTCCATACGAGCTCTACTACCTGCTTCGTCAATGAGATCGATTGCCTTATCGGGAAGATACCTGTCGCTTATGTATCTTGCAGACAGATACACAGCAGCATTTATTGCTTCAAGGGTAAACTTGCAGTTGTGATGAGCCTCATATTTCTCACGAATGCTCAGCAACATTCTCACGGCGTTCTCCTGTATTTAGGATCCTATCTCATTAAACATTGAAAAACGTATGGTTTGTGCATACCATACGATCGAGAAATCGTGAAAGTTACCTGGCTAGGCTCCTCAATCAGCACAGGCTGGAATCGTCGTGCTAATGCTTTATCCTTCTCAAATTGCTTTGTGTATTCACCAATTGTGGTGGAAGCAATGCACTGTGACCAATACAATAGTTATGTACCAAGTGTGTATAAGTGACGATAGAAATAGTGCACATAGAGAAGCCAGAGATATCATTCTTAAATGACCAGAAGATTGACATCTAAAATGCAAAGGTACACATTTTTTTTCTTTCACACACAGACGATTTCATTGATGATTGAAATTAACAGAAAGGGATGTTTTATCCATTATGTTTACAAAAAAAACCTTCCCAATTTACAATGAGGGAGGTATGACTATAGGAAGCAAATGTATTAGACTATTTACACCAAGATATAGTGTGATAAACAATACTGTTGAAGAGCTTCGTGTATGTTTGTCTTCTCCGTGCAAACTCTTTGATTTCTTTCCTTCCACAGAGTCCAAAAGAAAACCACATCAGAGTTTTGCGTTCTTGAAGAGGTGGTACATTAGAACCATATCCAATAAATCTTTTACCTCCATAGGAAAAGTGAGATGTCATCCGAGGGGATTGAAAATCATTTTCTAAAAACTCGGAGCACATATACATTGTATAAATAAGTGATTTTGTGATTTGTTGTCTTTCTTGCACACTGAACACCAACTTGGAAATAGAATCAGGTAGGTCATTCTTTCTTGATCGCTTGTGCTAATGGCTTATGTGCCCGTTTCCAAAGGAAAAACTTCAACTTTTTAGGGTGATTTCTTTTCCATATTGTCTTTGTTAGTGTGGGGTTTATTGCTTCTACTTTTTCTCCTACGTCGAACATCAAACATTTTGTAGAGAAGACCCTGTCAGCGCTAGGAAACCATGTCAATGAGTGCTTCTTTAGGCAATGCAACTAGGGCGAGGTCGAGACGTAATTCAGACCCTTTTGTTGTTTCGTTCTCCTTCAAGTTCCTACCAAGTTTCACGTCCCAAAAATAGTTGACATCATTCCATGTTACTTTGATCATGGCTGTTTTGCTATGAAAGAATCTATATAGAAGTGGATACCATAAGGCTAGCCTAGAGTTTCCAATCAAGGAATCGGTCTAGAAAGACGTGTCTTCTCCATCACCCACCCTATAGCGAATTCAGCTGGTAATGAGGTTTTGGTGTTCTTTTCATGGACTTCCATGGCTTCTTTACAGAAGATGAAGGGGATCGATTTGTAAATGATGTAGGAGAATATTTGGCCTTTATAAGTTCTCTCCACGAGGTGTTTTCTTTGTGATTATATCTCCATATCCATTTGGCAAGGAGAGCTTTGTTCTTCTCCCTTATTGAAATCGACCAAGTCCTTCCTTGTCTGCTGGAAGGTTTATGATATTCTATCGTACAAGGTGTAGCCCATCTTTCCGCAGATAATTCCTAAATAATCTTTCAATATTTGTAGCACTTTAGAGGTTGGACAGTGTGGCATGCAAAGATTCATACTACTCGATCATAATATTAATCATGGAAAAGCGAAAATTATCATTCGAGCGAGTTATGTCAAAACTAACATCACGACACAGTACACATTATTTCCAAGCATTACAAGCTAAGCATAGTTCACTGTGTCATTTAGGTGACCTTAAAAATTGCATTCATGCATATTGGATCCGATATTTGTAAGTTCAAGATAAGATTAGCGACGATACCTGCAATTTTCCCCTTCCGAGTGACGGTTTCAATAAATTAGCGAAGTTAAGACCCGACCCTTTACCTCCACCTCCAGATGTGCCAAGGTCAGCAAGTGAATGGACTTCATCAATAAAAAGGATAATATTGCCTGCAACCAACCGTAACACGTATGTAAGATTAAAACTAGTTCGACTTCAGACGTTCTTTTGTGAGCTTGTTCGGTTGCCTTTTTGTAAACTTATGTATTCTTTCATGTGTTCATCCAGGTTTTCATAAAAATAATAATAATAACAACAAAAGAAAATGAATGCAAATTACAACAAGCCTCAACCTGATTCTGTTATCTCTTTAATTAGCGCGGTAACACGTGCCTCCAATTCTCCCCTTTCCTTCGAACCAGACATGAGTAGTCCAATATCCAAGGACATTACGCGTTTATTCTGTGGAGAGAAAAAAAAAAAGCGGTTCCTAATGTATGTTGTACGAACAAACTTCGAACGTTGTTTCAATAAGATAAAGAGATAAATCACATGGGCAATAGATGATACAATCAATACAAACCTTCTTAGAATTACAAATGAAAAATCACTTATAATTATACAAACAAAACTAAATCAGAGCTTAGTATAAATGTCAAAAGAGAATCAAGCGGAAATGAGAAATCGTACCAACAGTACGAACGGAGCATCTGCCTGAGCTATACTGAGAGCCAACCCTTCAGCAATTGCTGTCTTTCCAACTCCACTCTCACCAATAAGAATAGGGTTATTTTTTGTTCTACGACAAAGTATCTCCACAACTCGTTCAACTTCAGAATCTCGACCGAAAATAGGGTCAATGAATCCTTCGCTAGCACGAGCAGTAAGATCCACACAGAACCGAGCCAAAGCACTATTTTCTGATACAATATAAAAAAGTATTGAGCACCTCTTTTCCATTGCTCAAATTCAAAACAAAAAATAAAACACATATATGATCAGCATCATAACCTATTACCTTTCTCTTTTTGAGAGGGTTTCGTACGAAGAGGTTTTCTAGAAGCGGATTTTTTAGGCATCCATTGCAATGAACTAGATGGCTCTCTACCATCTTTGGCAAGCTCCCCTTTAAGCCTGGATATCGCGGCATCTACCAACTGAGTAACATTTACCCCTAAGCTGAAACAATTTCAAGAAGCACAATCATTGAATTCCCCTTAAAATCTGCCCAATAAATATGCCACAATTGATGAAGTTTATAAATAATGTTGATTATGGAATGGTTCAAAAAATGGTAAAATCATATTCATGATGCTACTCTTCTGGGCAGATGCACCAATGCACTTAAAACGCGTTAAGCACTAATTTCGTTTTCAATAACATGAATGAAGCAAAAATGGGGGTCGGACAACAAAAAGATCGGTCTGATCCAGGCCAAACAAAAAACAAAGATACAAGAAATTGCTCTAATGTTTAAGAATAAAACGTAAAGGATAACAAGTACTTGGGCAATCTTCTTTGAAGTCTCTCACAAGTATTGGGTTTTTTCTCGGTTAAGGTTCCGCAAGAATACTTCAACCTTTTTCAAATATTTTTCGAAGGGAAATATCGTGCATAAGGTTCTGCTCACTTATCTTAGGGCTAAGGGATCTCTCATTCAATATACCATTCACGTGAAGAGTCCACCCTCTCGAGTCCTCCTGAAGAGGAGGCCTTGGTGATTGATAAGTTCATAAAGGGAGTTCCACTTTGCAATTCAAGGGCAGTGAGATTCCTTCAAATCTGAATGCTCCCGGTTCGAAGCAAAAGACCAGTACTGGTTCACCTTAAAGCTTTTGGTGTTTGCCACATTGTAAAGCCTCGGGTAGTATATTGACCATTTATCGACAAAGATCTTCCTAAAAGAGGATTTTATCACCCTTCCCTGAGATAGATATGTACCATTTATCGACAAAGATCACAGCATTTAGAGACGGACCCCGGCTGTTTGAAACGAACTAAAACTTTAGGAGAAGGGTACCATTTATCAGGGGCAATCATCTTCCTCCATAGGGCCCTTGACTCAGTCATAAATCTTCACTACCATTTAGTCAGCAGAGTAACACTCCTGTTTAAGATTTTCATTGCCTGGGCCACCATATGCAATTGGAATAGAAACAGTACTCCAATTTACCAGATTACTACTTCCCTCTTTTGACAGATCTTTCCACAAGAAATCCCGAACGCTCTTTTCCAGCTTCTTGATTACAACCCTGGGCATTTGAACACGGAGAACCATCTCCCAGTTTTCTTGGGGGAAAAGAAAAGATCACACGAAACCATCGAACAAAGGAGTTTTACTGTCCTCACAAACAATTCAAACTGAAAAGGAAACAGAAAGGGTACACAAAGATGAGCTCGAAAAGTCGAGTATCGGTGCGTCCCACAGCTAAGCAACCTGATCTCAACTCTCTAGCCCTTTCTTACAAATTTCTGCAGTTTCTTCCCCTCCAAATCTCCCATTGTTGCTTTAACCGCTAGACCAAATCATTGTCACCGTGTTCTAAAAGGTTACTTGCAGATGCAAACGCTTCTTATTAACTTCACAGCAACAAATTTGGCCTTACCTTTAATCCAAATACACCTCTCTCAGCTAAGGAGGTGCAGATGGTCAAAGGGTGTAACCAAAAATATCTAATCTGCTGAGGCATATGCCTCTATTTGGATTGCTTCAGCAAAAACATCAGACACCAATAAACATGAACAAGAAGAACAGTAAATTCTAAAACAAAAAACAGGCATTGGAAAAGAAAATTCAGAAGAGAACTCGTGAAGAATTATGGAGAACATTTCTTCAAGTTCATGAGAGATTCTCCATGGTTGTGCAAAATGGTCTAGATCCATGGCTATTCAAAAGTGAGAGAAATGAATATAATGCAACAATACCTCCTCAAAATCAACTGTATGCTTCCATCATCGTCAGCAGCAAGTAAAGCAATGGAAAGGTGTTCAGGTCCAATGAAATGATGGCCCATTTGCTTGGAATACTCAACAGCGGAATCAAACACCCTCTTGGTGCTGATAGCAAAGGGGACATGAGGCGTAATAGCCGCACTATGAACACTGGCATCACCTATTGCATCGTTAGTATGCCAAATATCACGAACGGCCTCACGAGCCACAGAGAGTGTAAGACCCGAATCTAAAAAACCACCAGCAGATTGATTATGTTCTTCCTCAGCAATCAAACCCAAAAGAAGATGTTGGGTAAAAACCAAATCCTTCGAAAGGGCTTTCGCCTCTCTCTGCGAAAAGATCACAGCCTTAATCGCTCTTTCGGTGAACCGCTCAAAAATGGCAGAAATGACCGGAATCCTCAACCGCCTCTTCCGCCGGATTTTGCCGCTGATTAAACCATTTCGCGAACGAAATGAAGTGACAAACGCAGGGGAAAACGAGGACACAAGATTGGAAGATGGGAATCCATGGATTCGCCGTCCGGATAAATTGGAACTCGATAGAACACTCAATGAACAAGTGGAAGAAGAAACCGTAGCCGGAGAAATCAAATGGGTCTGTTTATGGCAATCGAACACCGAAGTTTGATGGAACAAATTGGAAGATGGGGTCGCTGGCATTTTTGTTCAAATCGCAGAAAAAGAAATTCTAAAGAACCCACTAGAAATCTCAATCCCAAATTCTCAGAGGAAATAACCCATGAATCAATTGAAAGAATCGGAGTGTTGGGGCGGTGATGAAGGTTAAGAACAAGCAAAGAATTGCAGAAGAGTAACACGGCACGTAAAAGGAAAGGAATACCGAATCGGGCACGGTGATGAAGACCCACATGGTGAAGGGATACTTATTTCAACGCCGACGGAGAGGACCGGGGCTTGAGACAGTACCATATTGAGACGCAATCCGCAAACGTCAGTGCCAATAATTTGTCTTTTACAACAGCTTTCTAACATTACAAGGACGTTCATCTCGCCTTTCCCCTTCGGCTCGTATTGAACAATGAATGAATCGAGTCACCCATTTGAAATATCTCATAGCAATTGGTAGATGGTCGAAATTTGATTAGTCTTTTGCATCTGAACAGTAGAATTCACCTCACGTAAGAGGTATCAAAGTGGTATTAGTCTTCGACCATGTTAGATTAGATGACCATATTTTGAAGCTTATAACACAACAAGCTTAAAATCGAAACCTACTTCGATCAATTTTTGACTTGTCTTTCGTCTAGTTAGTTCATGTGTTAAAAAGCAGTTCCAAAAAAATACTTTTCAGCCTATTTGTCGTCGTGTTGGCTGCTTTTTGTTCACGTGCCGTTCTAAAAACTTAGTTTCTCTTCTTAATATCAAGTTTAAAGTCGAAACTCTAATTTATAAATTTTAATGGAATAATTAGGTTATATATATATATATATATATATATATATATATATATATATATATATATATATATATATATATATAT